CTACATGTATAATATATACATATGTACACATATACATATGTACACATATATGTACACATATACATAATAACACATTCCACATGCTAGCATCGTTTAAGTATATGTATAGCCTATACATCCTTAAGAACCTGCCTATGGTCCCAGTGATAAAAGATTCAAATAAAAATGAAAAATATAATATGATATAAGTTCTTAGGTTTTCTTTAAACATTTGTTCACTCTTTCGTATCTTATACGCTCTAGAATATTTTTGCTACGCCGTGTTAAAATTACTATTACTTCAGAATCGGGAGAGGCTAGAGAAGATAAACTTGATCGATGTGAGAAGTTTCCCGAGCGAGTGCTCCCTCTTCACACCTTACTGTTCCTATTTATTTTCCAATTCACTCATTAAATTATCTTCATCATCCACTTAGGAAGTTTCGTCATAAGCGCCTACCATACTCCCCTTTATAAATTTAGAAATCCAAAGTGGAAGAGATCTTCGGACAAAATCCTCTTCGATGTACTTTATCATATTTAGAGGTTCCAACTCGCACAGGAGTTATTTCCTCCATTTCCGCCACTTTTCCACTGTTTTTCCTCTTCCCGTATAAATGTTTCCCGTCGATTTTTACTAGTAAGAATCATTCATCGAACGCTAGGCAAACCATGATGTTGATCCGGTACACCGGATATTAAAACCTGCCTGCGTTCCGTGCAATAATTTTACGTAAACACAACACGATGGTAGCGAAGCGCCGAGAAAAATATCTGTGGGCGATTCAGATATTAACTTGACGGTGGATCGAACATCGGTTACGGTACGCGTTCGACGTCGACGGGTTAAAACCTTGTTAATCCCCGCTAATTGGGAACAGAGGTGGTTAACGATTAACGGTAGGATCTAGCGCATTATTGCGGTTTCATTTTCGTCCGCTTGCCGTAAAACTTCGTCAATTCGAGTTAATTAGAGACGGGCCAATACGGATTAAACGGATTAACGGGGTTAGACCGGGGGATTGATAACGTTCGCGGCGGAGCTAAGATCGATGGTATTGGAGTTTCTCTTTCAACCGATCAGGCTCGCACAGCTGAGGTTGTACCTGCAATAGCTTTCTGTATAACAAAGGGATTTCGTAAGTTCTCGCGGACAAATTGCGGTTTGTTTGTACATACGTATTGCCGTTCGATTCGTTTGCGTTCCCAATTTAGAAGCTAATTAATTGCAGAATAAAAGGAATGGTTGCTCTGAATAAATCTGAATGTGCATTCGATATTTTGGTATAAGTTTTCGTAGTCAGTGATTGTTTGTATCGTCCTATCGAGAACCGTATAAAAGTAATTTCATTTTATCGAGCTCGGTTCTTATCGAGGCAACATTTTTCCGACGACAAAAGCCTGTGCATGTACGTATCTCCGTACAGAGATCGCATGAGGAATACACGTGACCGTTCGTCTCTCTCTTTCTGTTGCAGGAAACGAGATACTGTATCGCGATGAAACTGGGAATCTCCTGATCTATAATGTCACATCGAGGAAGCCGAGGACGATACTGGACTCGAGTAATAACGTGAGTACTATCTGCTTTGTTTGTTCTCTACGAGAGAGATCATATCGAAGAACTTGAAAAATAATTATTGTTTCCTCGAAATCGTGTTGTTGCGATAAATATGTCATTCAGGCTTTTTATATCAATTTTGTTCTTTATTCGATTCCAGGCATTGATGTCGAGTTTTGATCATCAATTATCGGCTGATAGGAAGTATCTTCTACTGGCCATCGATTATCAGAAGGTAAGCTCATCATTTGTGAAATAAATGAATTATAGTATTAGATTATTCTATAAATGCCTCGATACTAAAATATTTATTAGCTGGCTTATAGCATCAGGGCTTCGCGATAATTTCGATCAGATCGACCACGAAATTAAGTAGCTTGTTCGATGAACTTCGATCGATGCTCGCACCTGGCGACCATTTTGTATTCAGAAAAATAGGTGAACGATACACATATTACAGAATGTACCTGTAATGCGTGGTGAAGCCGCGGGAAAGTTGACTAAGGGGAGGGGGTTCCGGTAAACTCCACGATGAAGATGAACGCGACTGGCTCGATGAATTTAACTCAGTTCCTGTGGCGAAACTTTCTCTACTACGAAACTAAGGATTCCATTTTTCAAGTTTTTCACTATCTAGAGAAACCGAAGACTGCGTTTTCCGAAGTTTCTCTTCGTTAACTCGAATTCGCCTGCTTCCATTTTTCGACTCCCTTTATTAACTCGACCCTGTGGCTTTCGTCCGTCAGGCGAACTTCCTTCTTTTACGTTTACGCAAATCCGGGAATTTAATTTCGCGTATTTCACTGCGGACGAGTGTCCGTCCTCAGCAACTTTTATTAAGTCGATCAAATTATAAACGTTCTATATAGATATACTAGTTTTAATGACAAATGTCTAATAAAACAAGGATCATCGTTATCTTGCAGTTACGGTTCTCTATTTTCTCTCGAAAAAATTACAGGGTTCATGAGTTCATATGAAGAGGTTTTCTTTCTTATGGACGGTATTATTATTATTCTCATAACGTATCTTTATCGTGGCATTTATGAAACGATAATAAAATACGGTTTAGCACGCTCGAGAGTTGTCGAATTAAATACTGTTATATGTATCTAGTATAATATTGAATAGTAAAACAGAGCTGTAGAGTCTATAACACGTTTAAATAAGGAATAAGATTTAAACATAAAATGTAAAGGGAAAAGAAGTTCTGTGCAATTTCCTTTTGACCCCACTCGTTAAGAAGTATTTGACTATGGACGTAATAATGAATTTATTACTCCTGAAGTATTCGAGATAGAAAAGTGTATACGAGTATACTTTTTTGCAAGAAATAGCAATACCTACAACATTTAGTTGAAATTTTGAGAAAAAAGACTCGTTGAATACTCAAGAACGAAAAAGTACATAGAAGTTTACTTGTATGTATGACAATGCAGAAGCTTAAACGAATTAGTCACCAGGAAGGAAGTTTGTAGAATTTTTATGGAGGGGTGGGATAACTTGAAATTCACCGGCTCGGTCGCAGCATAACATCACGTGCTACTGAATTTCATTTCGAGGTTTCGATTCTGGTTTTTTGATAACGCGAACCGGATTGCTTACTCGGCTAACCCAATTACGCCGCTCGTTATTCCAAAATAATCATGAGATTCGACTGATTGCATATGAATGCGGTATGATTTATCGTGGGTTTAATTCGCGTCAGTTGATGTGAAATGGACATGACAGAGATGAGGAGAGGAAAGAGTCGTCAAGTCTCGGTTTTTTCGACCAAAAAATCTGTGGTACCGGTCGTAATTTGTACGACGCGTTTCCCGGTGAGCTTCGACGTTGCCGCGTGTTAAAGGTAAATCAATTTTCCGATGTTTTCGTGCGACCGTCGCGTCGGTGGATTATCGAGAGTTTGCTAAATTATAAAGACACTGTGAAAATTGGCCACGCGTATCATCGGCGGGTGCACGCGGGCAGGAGGTACTTCGCGTCGTAGCATATTTTTGAGAGCCGAGCGTTATCGAACGCATCGGTGGCCTAGTTCGGGACAGCAATATACGAGAAAAAGTGGGCAGAAATTATGAGCCGGACTCGGATGAATCGACTCGTGGACGCAACACGAGTTTTCCTCTCTACAACTTCCCGATGAATCGTTTCCGAAAATAGACCGCGCCGAAATTAAGTCCGACTTGGATCTGGATCAAGTCTAACGGAAAATTTCTATCTTGCGATTTTAGATACTTGCTTCTTAGTAAGATAGTATCCAATTTTCCCAAACGCTCAAACTAGAGTCTGATTAAATAACTTTGAACCATGCATTTTCTTTTCTACCGTACTTGGACGTCGTCTAGTCTGATACGAGCTCGCCACAGATTTAAGACGCGCAATAGTGATCGTCGTTGCGACCATACGTGTGATATTCTCAGAACACGTGTTCCACCGTAATTCCGTCTGCAGAATGCTAAAGCATGCGGTGCGTGGAGCAGCAGATACACGCTAAATACCGTATAATACCTGACATGCATAGTGCCTACGTAGGCAGTCGGCGGCGGTCCCAGTTTCCTGGACTCCTCACCATTCAGCACCACGCATAATCGACCAGCTGGCCACCACCCTAACACACCGCTCTCGGCCCAATTGCATACATTATGGCCTCTGTATCCCGAATCTCTTCCACCCTTCGGCCTCGTCTCGCAATTGCCTGTCTCTACACTTATCTGCTTCCCACAGTATTTCTCCCTGGAGAGAACACCTCCTTTGTTTCCCTCGGTTTTATTTGTTTTCGCCTTATCAGGGGAGGCCCTTCAATAATTTTCGTTATCCGACTGTTCCCTCTGTACTAATATTTTTTTATAATCTACTAATACTGTCAGAAAGATTATTTCATATTACTAGAGCGCGTTAATTAGGAAATTCCTCTTATCCATATTTTAACTAGTTTGAAAAATAACTAATTTACAAGTTTACAAATAACAACATTCGTTATCACAGAACTCTGTCCTCAGCGGTTTTTATGTAAAAATGAGAAATTTCGTTACGATTGCGTATATTTCAAAAGCAATAATTACGAGTTGTTTAAACAGGTTCAATTTCGTTGCAGCTCGCAATATACATAGAGAAGCCATCACGTCGCAGGATCCGGTCGTAGCCGTGTCCCGTATTCAAATTCAAAATCCAATAGATTTACTTTAGAATCACGTTGCGCTGCCATCGCCGTTCTCTCACTTCCTGGCTTCTCGTTTCTATGAGAGCTTCCCTTCAACTAGTCCGTCACCCGTCGCTTCCCTTTTTCCGTTCACCTCATCTCGTCCTCGTTCAATCCTCTCTGTTTACCACCAGCAACACTACTCGGGTTTGGCTACATTTGTACGCATGCATCCAGTACCGTAGTACTGCATTGGTTGCGTGTAGCTGCAACGAACCACGGGCCACCCTGTTACCGCTGTACGTGAAATCCTGAGTTATGTATGACCCTGCCGTGTTGGCTGGCTTAGATTCCTGAGGGGGTGTGTCTTCGTACCGCTCCTTAACAAACCACCACGTACCTAAACACGTGTTACGTCGGTGTAAATAACCGACCAACCGATTAGACGAATTCGATTCTTTGACCGATACTTTAGTTTTTACGTTAGACCATGAAAATGATGGGAAAGGTTTAATTAATAAGGATGATTGCAGGAAATTTTTTTTCTTCAAACAGCATATACATATTCTTGAGCATTACTCAATGTACAGAGGAAATATTTTTTGGATCACATTGGAGGAAGTAAATAGTGGTCGGATAACTCGTGGAGATTTGATGTCACAATGGTTCGAAACATTTCACGACTGTTTGTCCATACCCCCGTTTGTTTGTCCACGTCCATTCCAAGTTTGTTCATTTACACCTGTGTGTACCGCGGCAACGGCAAGTTAACCATACTTCTGGCTTGACTGGTATCCGAACCTAATGTTCGAGCCAACTGGAGCCTATAAAATCGAAGCCGGAGAATCGGATTCTCCCGGCGAAGAACTTCGTGTTCTAGTGGAATCTTTTACCAGCCCGGAGGCGTTATCGCCGTCTTATCGGCAAAGGATCGCCCGTAATGAGGCTCTGCCTCGAGCACTGTCCTGCTTCTCGAAATCCTCTTAATTCGCGCTCGAATAGTAATTTTCAACGAGTGCTATTCCACCCCGTTCTGCTCCAATTTCGCCTCTAGAATGGTGCGGGTCGTCTCCGCTCTCCCCGTCTTCGACTACGTGCTGAGGACTTTTATTTACCGGGTCGGCAAATAATTGCGTAGAGCGTTTTAAAAAAAGTTTCGCTCGCTGCCAAATATCGGCTCGGCGACGCTAGAACTTTTCGGACTAAAGGGCAAGCGTCGAGCGATATTACTTAAAAAGAAATTTCGAGGGTTTCGTATTTAGGATATCGTTCCGCGATTGCGAGAAGCAGCCGTCGCGGAAAGCTGTTGGTCCCCGATACGAGAAGCAGCTGCCGTTGAAATGCACGCGGATTCCGGGCAGAGGTTCTCAACTATGTACGATGTAACTGCGAATACTAATACGGATACGGGATCGTTTCGCTTTCCATGCACGAGCGTTCCCCACTCCGTGCTTTTAGTCGTTTTCCAATTGAAATTACGACCGTTCGATAAATGTAACGTCCGATGCCATACAAATTTTATCGGTCAATCCAATTGCGTTTAAATTTTAACTATTTTTTGTACGGAGAGAGCAGATTTTTCTGTGAGTTTAATTCGAGATGAACAAAGATCATTCAGAATAGTTTCCACCACGAGTAGTTTTACCCCTCGACGCTGAGTGGGGACGGGGAGACGGAGTAATGCGAGTGGGCACGATATTACAGGCACGCAATTAATCATGCTGATTAATGCCGTCTCGCGCAGCAATTAATGCATGTAATTAATGACAAATGTTATTATTATCGCCGTGTCACCCAGAGATGTTTGAACATAGTTTAGCGCTCCTTCGCAAACAAAGGGATGAACCTTGCAGATTAACTCAACGATCGATAGGTAATGAAAACATCTTGCGAAGAAAATAACATTGGCGAAAGGGAGATCGGGTGAACGAGGATGAATCAAAGGCAACGAATTCGAATCGCGGGGTGGCAATCAGCCGTGCAAACGCGTTGCTTCAATCCGCGGCGGGTAAACGTGCGCGTGTCAGCTCGAAAAATAATACTAATTGGAGCGAGGGATGCACAATAGCCGTCTAATGAATTTCCTGTTGCGAGTG